AAAAAAAGCCGGAAGTGGCACTGTGGCTCAAGTGGTAGAGTGCTAGCCTTGAGCTGAAGAGCTGAGGGACAGGGCCCAGACCCAGAGTTCAGGCCCCACCACTGGACCCAAAAAAAAAAATCAGAAAGTTCTTTATGGAAAAAACAAAGCCAAAGAAATGAAGGGGGGAAAAGTCATAAAAAACATTTTAAAGGGTCAATAATCCTATTTAAAATGCATATGGCTATCTCTTGTTGCATTGTTTCAAATAGCAAAAAATTAGAAATAACCTCATTTAGAGGCTGATTAACTAAATTACAGTTTTAGAAATGTTATTTACTCATTATAACTTCCAGTGAAAGTCATCCTAAGCCGATGTAGTCGTACATACCTGTAGTCATAGCTACTCAGGAGGCAAAGGCAGGAAGATCACTTGAGTTAATAAGTTCAAGAGCAGCCTGGGTAAGGTAGTGACTCATCCATCTTAAAGTTTGGGTTTTGCTTTCTTTTCCCAATTATCCCAATGATTTTTCAAGACTGACTACAGTCTCAGAATGCTACAGAACACCTTGAGTTAACATTCTGACTTATTTCCTATTTGACAGACTAAGAAACTAGTTAAAAATTTAAAATACAAGAAAGAAAAAACATTTGAATCCTTATCTTGGGGTTCATTTTGCCTAACATAAGGATTCAAATGTTCTTTCTTTCTTGCAATTGTTTCTAACATATTTATAAGATGATTTCTTTGTTGCGTTGTATGTACCTCCCCCACGGTATAACCCCTGTTTTCACTGTATTTGATGTTGGTATAATTTGTGGAGGGGAAGGGAAAAAACAAATTGTTTAAATAGGGATATAGATGGACCCATTGCAACAATGAATTGTACAAGATGTTATGTCGAAAAATGAACTTTACAACTTGGGGCGGGGAGGGAGGAAGGAATGGGAAGGGGAAACAAAGGAGGAGGCAAAAATGCTTGATAAGAAATGTACTCATTACCTTGCCCATGTAATTATAATCCCTCTATACGCTATTTTCACAATTAAAAAATTTTAAATACAAACAGTGGTTTGCAAATGTTAAAAGCCTTTACAACTAAGCCATATGAAGTTCTGAGATCTAACAAGGTATGTTATATTAAAGGGATGTAAATGGTAAGAAAAACAATGAAAGTAAATTGATAGGAGAGGATGTGGCTTCTGCAATAGAAATATACCAAAATTCACTCAGTACCGATGGCTTACGCCTGTAATCCTGGTTACTTTTGAGGTGGAAAACTTGAGGATAGACATTCAAAGCCAGCCCTAGTAGGAAAGTTGTGTTTTTTTGTTGTTTTGTTTTGTTGGTTATGGGGCTTGAACTCAGGACTTGGAGCTGTCCCTGAGCTCTTTTTCTCAAGGCTAGTACTCTATCACTTTGAGCCACAGCTCCACTTCCACTTTTCCAGTGGTTATTGGAAATAAGAATCTCAAGGACTTTCTTGCACTGTCTTTGAACTGTCATCCTCAGATCTCAGCTTCCTGAGTAGCTAGGATTATAGGGATGAGCCTCCAGCACCTTGCTTCATGAGCCTCTTATCTCCAGTTAACCACAAGAAAACTGGAAGTAGAGCTGTAGCTCAAAGTGGTAGAGCTCTAGTCTTGAGCAAAAAAGTTCAGGTACAGTACCCAGGCCCTGAGTTCAAGCCCCTGATTGACAAAAAGAAAAGAAAAGAAAAATACCAGAGGTCTTCAGCTTATTATAGCAGTAACCTAGAGTTGTAGCAAAAGATTACAACAGCACATGTGGTATGTGTGGACCATATCATATGAGTCTGTATTTGGTTTCTTGCTTGTTGTATATTATATTCACTCATTCATTCCAGGCTGGCAACCTACCTTCTCATTTCAAACAAGATAATTTAAAAGGAGGGAATTATATTTTTAAAACTTAAAGAGCTAGAGGCATGGCTCAAGTGCTAGAGCACCAGCCGGGAAAACGTAATAGACATACAGATATAAAAACCTATTTAAAGAAGTCATTATTCACAGATCATTAAACTCAATTGTAAGATTAGGTAGAGTGTGGTCATAAGTGATTATGAAAGACAAAAGCGATCAATCTTCAAGACACTGAATATTAAATCAAAAGAGCTTATAAATACATACAGTTCCATAAAAACTAGTCATTTCTGCCTAAGCTTTGTTTACTGAATGATTTACATCTGTATTTTTTCTTAAGTATTTTTCCTTAAGAGAAAAAAGAGAAAATGTATAGATAGAAACCTAATAGGATGTACAAATTTAAGTCTATATTTGTCAGCTACAAACTAGTGTGTCTATTAGGGCATATTTTGCTTTGCCTTTTGTTTTCCCTAATCCAAGCTGGGGCTGAGAGTTTTTCTCCAATGTACGTACCTTTCATTTCCTCTTCACTTTCTACATTTCCATTGCTGTCTATGTCCTACCCTTTGGATGGGTTTTCAGAGGATCAGCTCTATGACACCTATTCACACAAATAGTCACAGAACTGAGTGCCTGTCTCGTTGGTGATTAATACGTATTTTTATTAAATTAGTTATCAAATATAACAGATACAGCATGTATTTCATATACTAGTAATCTTCTAAATAGCCAACATTTTCATTTTGGCCCGTTACTTAATTTTTTATTACTTATTAAAAAAGCAGATTTGTAAGATAAACATAACAGGAACTGAACCTTAAGACATTCACTATAAAAAACAAATTTAGACAGATATTCAATATAAACTTCTAGAAAACAAATTATCCAAGCCTAGTTCTCTTTTTCTCAGAAGTAGGTGTAGTAGAGATAACTCTTTCATGCTGTCTTTGTTTCCAAGTAACCATAGAAAGTATTCAAGATTATTTGGTTTATTAGGATGCTACATGGTTTGTCTTTATAACTGAAATACTTGATGACTCATTTAGATATCAAAAATCCAAATAACTATATTCTATAAGTGCTATGTATTAAAGAGAATAAGAAATTTCTGTGAAAACTCCACCAGGACCTTCTGAAGCTGTTCTGCCTGAAAAGGCCAGGAGGTGGCAGCAAATCCCCAGAAAATGTTAAAAGAATCCTGATTTGTTCTTATACATCAGAACTTGCAGAACTACACAGTGGATTAAATATCTGATGACTCCAGACAAATTGTATTTTCAAAGTAGTGGAAGCCTTGGAATTGTTTAAATCATTTTATTGACTAAATATGTTGCTGCTAATTATAACCTACTGGCTAATTTATAATAGGTGTAATGTATGACAAGCCAATCAGAAAGTAGAGAGGAAAAAGATAAAAGAACGAGGGAAAAGTAAAAGCTGAAAAATGCTTAAGTACTGTATAATACCTCACATTTGCATAATTGATAGCTTTCAACCTAATAGTGAATAATTTATTGCTTATCATACTAATCATTTAAATACAGCCCTAGAAATTATAATGAAATCAAGCAACTTTTAAGCTAGTGATTTTTTTTAGAACAACTAACTTTACTCATTCTTTGTGTAAGTAAATTATCTTATAAAAATGGAAGAATTTATCCCGTGACACAGGTTCTTCAGCTTAGAGTGATACCCAATTAGGCTTTGAGGTATGGCTCAAGAGGTTGAGCACTTGCCTAGAATGATACCCAGTATCTTCACACAATTGATAAAACCTGTAAGATACTGCTAGTATATAATCCTTTTTCAGACTAATAAAATTATAATGGTATGGAATACTTAGATTTGTTTTTTGGGGGGGGGTCTGATCGTGGGCCTGAACTCTGGGCCTGGGCGCTGCCCCTCAGCTCTTCACCTCAAGGCTAGCGCTATACCACTTATGGCTTTTTTTCTGCTTATGTGGTACTGAGGAATCGGACCCAGGGCCTCACGCATGTGAGGCTAGCACTTTACCACTGAGCCATCTTCCCAGCCCTGGAAAAATTAGATTTTTTTTTTTAAAGATGAACAATTTGCTAGGCACCAGTGGCCACACCTATTTATAATCCAACTTCCTCGGGAAAGATCCAAAGGTCATTGTTTGAAGCCAGCCCAGACAGACAAATCCAAAAAAACTCTTTTATCAAAAAAAAAAAAAAGATCATAAAGACTCTGCCTAAATTTTTTTTTTTTAGATAGGAAGACTTCTTTCCAAAGTAGCAAGATTAAAGTCAACACACACACACACTCAAATCAGCTTTGCTACTATCAGTCAAGAACAGGTTGGAAACAAATTGGGAAACCAATCCCATTTACACTAGCCCAGAAGAACTCGTGAGCATAAACCCAAGCAAATGAAAGGGCTCTTCATTGAAAACGATAAAACATTAAAGGGATACATTGAACAGGACAGTCAAACTTGGAAAAGGCCTCTCCTCCCATATGCACAGATTGGCACAATTAGTATTGTGCAAAATGGCCATTATTTCCTTGCTTTTTAAGATAGATGTTATTTCATAAAAAGCTTTACTCATAATGGCTTTACTCGGGAAGGAAGGTAACATCTTCTACATAGCCAAAGACAAATACATGGAAACATATTTGTAACAAATGCGCGTGTAACCTTAACAAGAACCACACACACACGCGCACACACACACGCGCGCACACACACGCACGCGCACACACACGCACACAATTTTTTAAATGGGGAAAGCTATTTCTCCAAAAAGTAACAAGTGGTCAAATCTAAATCTCAAGCTAAGTTAAAATAGGAGGTTTCCGGTGGAGTAGAGGCGGGAGCCTGGGAGCCTGGGAGCCCGGGACCAGGGCGTCCTTGAACTCAGGAGCCGGAGGAGGTCCCGTCCTGGAAGGGCGGGTGACGGTGAGACCTGGCCCAAACCAGGAAGGCGGAGAATAGGATCCACGCGCTGATTGGATGTCTGTGGGGAAAAGGGCGGAGGAAGAATAAAACTCACGGCGCTGATTGGGTGTGTGTGAGTGAGGGGCGGGGAGGACGGAGTCTCCCTGGACTCGCGAGAGGAGCGCGGCGGGGGTACACTTCCGGTCTTTGTGGTTTGCCGCTCGGGGTCGGCGGCTGGCGCCCTGGCGACTCTTGGGTTTCGCGGTGAGGGACGCGGGCCCGGACGCAGAGGGAGGGGACGGTAGGGTGGGTGCCCGACCTGGCGCGGGGTGGAGGGGCCGCACTCCTGGGTCTGCCTGTTGGGGCGGAGTCTCGGGGCGTGCGGACCATCCCAGCCTCTCCGGTGGGAGCGCGGTCCTCCCCGCCTGGGCCCTCCCTGAGAGCGACTGCGCCTTCCCGGGGTGTAAAGTAGGAAGCCCGAGTATGCTAATGCGAATGCTAATGAGTATGCTAATTATCCCCTGAAGCTCTCCGTGGTGCCGGGAGGCAGTTCCACTGTGTGTCCTGCTGATTACACTGAGGGGTACTTGCTCCTGTGGATAGACCCCCCCCATCCAAAAATTCAGACGTTCGGGCTATATCACAGAATTGAATACAGAACTCTCAAGTGCCATATTGCGTTTGTGAAATAGTCTCTTCCCAGAATACTCCAGCTCTTGAGGACTGAAGTTGGTCCTTTTGCATCTTTTAGTTTTACAATATCTAGCCTGTTTTTGAACGCATAGTAGGAGTTTTACAATTATTTCTTGCTTTATGCCTCAAGCAGGTTCACTCATGAGCAACAAGCATTCTTTTAACCTAATGCACATGTACGACAGAGCAATATTAAGTTCCTCTGTTGAAGAAATATCTGGTCACTAAATGTGAACAAATGGCTTATGTTCCACATTACTTCGTTTAAATCAACTCATTTAATTTTAGAGTGTGTGGGGAGGGGGGATTGGGACTTGAACTCAGGTTTTTCAGCTCTTTATTGGCCTTTTCATTCGAGGTTGGCACTCTTAACTCTTAAGCCACATCTTGCTTCCAGCTTTTTGCTGTTTAATTCGAGAAAAGAATCTCATGGACTTTTGTTGGATTCACACTATGATCCCCAAATTCTAACATACTGAGTAGCTAGGAATGAGACACCAGTACCCAGCTAATATGAGTTTTTAAAAATGTTTTATTACTGCCCTAAGGGAAAATCAATACCTGCTATCAATAGGAGATAACTAAAAATAAGACTTGTAAAGTTGATGTTATTGAATACTAGCTGGATATCATTATTACCCATGGAAGCCTGGATCAGAGGCCTCTATTTTAAAGTTCTGCAAGTTTTACATGTATATTAAAGGCACATTTTTCTCCTTGATGTGATCAAAATTGAAAGATAATTCACCCTGTGGCTCATGCCTGTAATTCTAGCTACTCAGGAGGCTGAGATCTGAGGATCTTGATTCAAAGCCAGCCCTGGCAAGAAAGTCTGTGGGACTCTTATCTCCAATAAACTACTCAGAAAAAGCCAAAAGTGGAGCTGTGACTTAAGCAGCAGGGCATTAGTCTTGAGCAAAAGGCTCAGGGACAGTACACTGAGTTCAAGCCCCAGGACTGGCACACACACACACCTCCACAAAAAAAAAAGATAATTTAAAAAGGTAATAATCTAGGTGATTCACGTTCATAATTTCTAACAGTGATAGGAATTACAAGTAAAGCGAATGTTTTTAGTTCGACACTAGATTGCTATTTAGTGATAGTCCCAAATTTGCTTCTTTCAATGTTATTGGTTTATTATAAGACTTTTAGAGAATTTTTTTCCTGCCAAAAGTTAACAGAGCTTTTATATTCAACAGGAAAAAAAAGATTACTCAAATCTCCAGCACAGAACCAGTTGTACTGAGCTTCTTAAGCTGCTTCAGTCCAGAATGGCTGTGGAATCCAGAGCAATTTCAACTCAGGATCATCAAGAACAAGGATTACTACTGGTGAAAATAGAAGATGGCTTTTCCTGGAGCCATACATTTAAACAGAATGGAAGCACCGAATCCTGCCAAGAATTGTTTCGCCAGCAGTTCAGGAAGTTTTGCTACCATGAGACACCTGGACCTCGGGAGGCTCTGGGCCGACTCCAGGAGCTTTGCTATCAGTGGCTAATGCCAGAGTTGCATACCAAGGAACAGATCCTAGACCTACTGGTGCTAGAGCAGTTTCTGAGCATTCTGCCTGAGGAGCTGCAGATATGGGTACAGCAACATAGTCCAAGAAGTGGAGAGGAAGCTGTGACCCTGTTGGAGGATTTGGAGAGAGAGTTTGATGATCCAGGACAACAGGTAGGAACAGATTGAAGTGATATAGGAAAAGGAATTTATAGCTGAGAGTGAGCGTGTAGTATACCAACAGTAGGTTGCATAGCTATATGTCTGTAATAAACCATATTCCTGATGTAATGATAGAGACATACCTGTCTGTGCCCTTACATGGGTTTTTTTGGTACCTATCCTTCATCTGTGAAGGTGGGCCAATCTAGTCATTTTTTTTTCTTTTTTAAAACTATCTTGTAATTGTACAAAGGAGTTTCAGTTTAAGAAATCAGTTTAGAAAGATTTATAATGCATTTTGATAATCATGTTTTTCTAATTTCAGGTCCCAACTAGTCCACAGGGACCAGCGGTGCCATGGAGGGATTTGACATATCTCAGAGCATCCAAGGAGTCAGAAAACATCCAGCTCCAGCTCCAGCTCCAGCCTCTGAAGACACAGTTGAAGTCCTGGAAACCTTGCCGTTCCTCCAAAAGTGGTGAGGAATAGAAACTTACCAGGAAACTCCTATCACTTAGGGTTCTGGTTTTGAGGATGCAGAATTAATTACATTTGCAAGCTTGCCACATGCGAGCATCACTTTCATTCATCAGAACCAGAGTTGCTTGCTTCAGCAGCTTTGTGTTCAGCAGACCTCTAATGGATTGCAGCTAGTTGTTCTTGTGACAGTTTCCCCTCTCATTCATTCACTTATTTAATCATCTTTCCCCTAGTTAGTGAGTACTAAAATGTCTAATGCCATGGTAAGCACTGAGACTCCATCTTCAAGAAATTTTCAGTTCGAGGTGAATTAGTTAGTATGAGAACACATACAGTAGCGCCTAACCCAATCAGAAAGACAAAAGGAATGCTTCCTGGGAAGAGACACCTAAGACTTGGAAGATAAATAGGAAGAAGCCAGATAAATGGGTGGAAGGAATGGCCAAGCAAAGAATGGCCACAAAGTTCTAGGAGAGAATATATCCATTCTGGAAATTGTAGGAAATTTTGTTTGAGGTGAGGAGATAATTGATTTTTAAAAAAAGATTAGTAAGAGAGAAACTAAAGTTGCAAAAATACATTTACTCAATGCAGAGGGGTGCAGTTTTGGACAAGGGAGTGATGTGGTTAGATTTTTAGAACTTGGCTGCAGAGTGGAAAGTGGATTTGAGGAAGGCAAGGCACTGAGCCACTGGTTATCAAGGTGGCCACAGTGAATAAATCAGCATGTGTTTTGGGGGAGGGTGGGAGAGGTCAAAGCTCAATCCCATTCCTCAGTGGTAAAAGTACATTTCAATATCTAGTCATCGTTAAAAAGCAGAGAGTGAGGAAGGGGTGGCACACTATTGATAGCTCAGGTAATAGTGGTACTGTTTTCATGTAAAAGGGGAAACACAAGGACAAACAAAGCATCTGATGATATGTGAGGATGTTTTAGTTTGAAGTATTTTTATGCTTGTACAATAGTCACAGTAAAATATTAGTCATTATTGAAACTAGTACATTGAAAGTTTGTAAAAGTGAGGACATGCGAGAGCCTCGAACAGAATCAGGAACACCGGTGTTCCAAGTGTGATTAGGAACCCAGTCCATGAAGGATCAGCCATAGAAATGAAACAAACGCATGAATATATATAAAGGAAAGTGTGGACCTCACACTTACTGCTTCAAAAAGCCAAATAAGGCAGATCCAGAAGGTATGCATTGGGTTACAAAGTTGTGATGTTAGTGTTCTTGATGAGATCAGAACCAGTGGAAGCAGTGTGGTTTACATGGAGGGTAAGGGAGAAACTAGACTGCAGAATGGGAAGGTGTGCAGATAACCCTTTCTGTTGCACTGAGCTTGATTTTTTTTTTTAAGGGGGAAATTTGAACTTATGTAAATGCTGAAAAGCAATAATCTAGAAAGAGGTTGAAAATAATAGAAGATACTTAATCAATTGAAGTCTTAAAGGAGGCAAAAAGGATGAAATTCAAAGTTGAGATGTAGGCTTTAGTTATAGCATCTATTTTGGCCAGTTAAAGGAAAGATAGTTACACTGACATCTTTGTAGGTAAACCTCTCTGTTTTCTACCATGTTGAAAGTGAATACTGAGCCAATCACAGTGCAGACCTGTAATTCCAGCTACTTGAGCAGCTAAGGTAGGAGGATCTCATAAGCCCAGGAGTACCAAAGCCTGGGTACTCATAAGCCTGGGTAACATACTGAGACCTTGGTTTTTTTTTTTTTTTTTTTTAAAAAAGAGGTGAATATTGAAAGACAGGAGAAATATAAAATCTGACTTTTCCCCCTTTTTTGCTAGTTATCATTTCAGATTGTGAGAACAATGAAACAGCAAGTAATATCATTTCAGAAGAAAAATCACAGGAACTCTGTCAGGAAGCTTCATTTGGAGGAGGTGATGGGCAGGAAAGCAGTTTAGAGTGGCAGCAAGCAAGTGCTACACGGGAGAAGTTAAGAAGATCCCCTCCCCATGGGGGCAGCTTCAGTCAAGTGATCTTCACACACAAATCTTTAGGAAAGAAAGACCATGATGATGAGCCTCAAAGATTCTTGATTCTAAGTGCAAACTCTATAACATGTCAGAAGGTTCCTGCAGAAGAAAGACCTTATAGATGTGATGTCTGTGGGCACAGCTTCAAGCAGCATTCGTCTCTCACTCAGCATCAAAGAATCCATACTGGAGAAAAGCCCTATAAGTGTAACCAGTGTGGAAAGGCCTTTAGTTTGAGATCATATCTGATTATTCACCAGCGAATTCATAGTGGTGAGAAAGCATATGAATGCAGTGAATGTGGGAAAGCCTTCAATCAGAGCTCAGCTCTCATTAGACATCGGAAAATTCATACTGGTGAAAAAGCTTGTAAATGTAATGAGTGTGGCAAAGCATTCAGTCAAAGTTCGTATCTCATTATACATCAAAGAATTCACACTGGTGAAAAGCCCTACGAATGTAAGGAATGTGGGAAAACTTTTAGCCAGAGCTCAAAGCTTATTAGACATCAGCGAATTCATACAGGAGAGAGACCTTATGAATGTAATGAATGTGGGAAAGCTTTTAGGCAGAGCTCAGAGCTGATTACTCATCAGAGAATACACAGTGGAGAGAAGCCCTATGAATGTAGTGAATGTGGGAAAGCCTTCAGTCTGAGCTCCAACCTCATCAGGCATCAGAGAATTCACAGTGGAGAGGAACCTTACCAGTGTAACGAATGTGGCAAAACCTTCAAAAGGAGCTCAGCCCTTGTTCAGCATCAGAGGATCCATTCTGGGGATGAAGCTTATATATGTAATGAATGTGGGAAGACTTTCAGGCACAGATCAGTTCTCCTGCGCCACCAGAGGGTCCATACTGTAAATAATTTGTGAATATGATGTTTGTTTAAATACTTCTGTCAGATTTTTCTCTTTTAGAGCAGGTGACTTTGGAGCAACAGTTCAAGGTTGTGAACTACTGTCTTGAGTCACCTAACTTCGTTTATGCATCACTTCCTAATGGTACTACAAATCATCCCTTGAAGATTTTCCTTGTGACTTATCAGGATAACATGGGAGACTCTGATCCCAGCTTTCCTCTTAACTGTTGGAATACTCAGGAAATAGCAAAAAGCGGTCATGGAACATCAAAACCTCATTTTTCAGAATGTTATGAAAGGACCATGAGGCTCTAGGCTCTGTCACTGCATCTGATAGTCTAGTGTGCCAGGTTTGAGAGAGAATGTAGACAGCCGGAGGGACGTTTCCTCAGGAACTCAAAAACAGTGACGCGCAACAAGAAAGATGGGGAAACCGTTTTATCAAGTCTGTTGAGCATGGGGCAAGCTAGAAATAAGGCACAAGAAGAATACAAGTTAATTTGTCCAGTGATTTTTATTTTGGCCAGCTTTGGGGTTTGAACTAAGTGCCTGGGTGCTGTCCCCAAGCTCTTTTGCTTAGCCTAGTCCTCTACAAGTTGAGCCACAGCTTCACTTTCAGTTTTTTAGTGGTTAATTGGAGATTAAGAGTCTCCCAGACTTTCCTGCCTGGGCTGGCTTTGAACCATGACCCTCAGATCTCTCAGCCTCCTGAGTAGCTAGTATTACAGGCATGAGCCACTGGTGCCTGGCTTCAATGATTCTTTTTATTAACACCTGCTTTGCATCAAAGATTAAGGAAACAATGAGAAACAAGACCTAATTCTGCAGTCAGGAAATGAACCTAACATGGTCAAGGCTATGTGGCTAAGGGTATTCCTTAAGCACTTTCCTCATTTCCTTATCCAAGAAGTTAAGAAAGAAAATTGGTGAAAGAGGATAGGCCAAAAGACAGTGTTCCCAGTGAAGAAATAACAAAGCCCAGGAAGAAAGTTCTGGCCTTTCTAGTTGTTGAAATGGGGGTCATGTTTATAACAAACACGGTTATATCCCTGAGATGGCCAATGTATGGGCATGCACTAACTATTAAGAATGGCATGCCGGGTATCGGTGGCTCACACCTGTAATCCTAGCTACTCAGGAGGCAGAGATCTGAGGATCACGGTTCAAAGCCATCCCGGGCAAGAAAGTCCATGAAACTCTTACCTCCAATAAACCACCAGAATACCGGAAGTGGCACTGTAGCTCAAGTGGTAGAGCACTCACTTTGAGCTGAAGAGCTAAGGGACGGCACCCAGGCCCAGAGTTCAAGACCCATGAACTACAGGGGAAAAAAAATGGCAGGATATAGCTGGATGCTGGTGACTCACACCTGTAATCCTAGCTACTCAGAAAGCTGAGATCCCAGGATCATGGTTCAAAGCCAGCCTGAGTAAGAAAGTCTGTGAGGTTCTTATCTCCAGTTAACTACCAGAAAACTGAAAGTGGTGCTGTGGCTCAAAGTGGTAGAGCATAGATCTATTCAACTGATTTTCTTTGTTTTCTACAGGGAAACACCCAAGCTGCAATGAGTAAGGTGTTAATGTAGGAATTGATACATTGTAAAAGGAAAATGGTTTCTATAGAGAGATCTTAGATCAGTAAGAAGTACATGCATTAATTATTTCACTACAGTGCATATTTTCTGGATGAGGAAATAAGGTTAATGGTCATAGCTAAAAGCTACTGTGTTCAAAGCTTCAATTTATAACCCTACTTTGGAGCCACTTTATTCAGTTTCCCTGTGAAAAGCTTCCAACAGAAAAACTTGTATTTGGCTTGGAGTATATTTTTCCATCCTCAGTATTGAAAATTTAAGACTATGAAAGAAAGCCAAGCTCATCATCACAGAAGAATTACAGGTGTGAGCCTCTGATACCTGGCTAAAATATATTTAAGATTAGGGAAGTGGGCTGGGGATGTAGCTTAGTGGTATACTAGCATGTGTGATGCACTTGTTTAATTTTCTGAACCAAAAAATAAAGCCCAGGATAGTTGAGGAAATAAAAACATTTGCTTTCCTGAACATCTCTGTCCGTTCCAAGTCTGTGTAGGAAATGTAACTCTGAACCTCAATTTCATCATTGATCAAATGACACTGGCAGACTTGACCCATCTCATGTAGGATTAAGAATCCTCTACAAGTGGGGCTGTGACTCAAAGTGGTAGAACACTAGCCTTGAGTAAAAAGAGCTCAGAGACAGCAATCAGGCCCTGAGTTCAAGCCCCACAAATGACCAAAAAATAAAATCCTGTACAAATTCAAAGATGCATTGTATTTATAAAATGCTATGTTGAATGGCAACTCCTTTGTACAAGAGATCATACATTTTTTAAATAGGGAAAAAATTTGCTAAATTCTAAATCCCTGTGCAAAAGTCACAGCCTTGAAGTGGTCAAAACTATAATCTTGAATTGCTTTTCCATAAATTTAGCCAACGCAAGGCACCTCACAACTCAGGTTAAAGGCTCTCTTACAGTTGCTTCAGAATTCTTCAAGTATGAAGTGAAAGGGCCTTCAATGTAAGCTGGATATCCAAGGAATTTTTTTCTCATTCACCGTGAAAGGATTAAAAAGCATTATGTCAGCCAGGTGTTGGTAGCTCATGCCATAATTGTAGCTACTCAGGAGGCTGAGATCTGAGGATCATGGTTCAAAGCCAGCCAGGGCAGAAAAGTCCATGAGACTTTTATCCAATTAACCTCAGAAAACTAGAAATGGAGGTGTGGCTCAAAGTGCTCTAGCCTTGGGACAGTGCTTAGGCCCTGATTCTAAGCCCCATCTCTCTCTCTCTCTCTCTGTCTCTGTTTCACTCACTCACTCACACACACACACACACACACACAAAGCATTATGTCCATATAAAATCTTGTACCAGAATGTTCATAACAGCTTTATTTGCAATAGTAAGAAAAAGACTGGAAACAACCCAAATTAGTGTTTTGTGAAATGAAAGGTTAGTACAGCTGGAAAAGGCTGTGGACCTGACCACCTGCTAGGGTTAAGGCAATGACAACTTTCTTTGCTATATCCAAGTGTGAAAATGGAACAGTGAAGCTTGTTGAGATTGCTCTGGAGGGAGTGGGAGAGAGGGAGTCTAATCAAGGTACATTTTGTAAGGGAATGAATGGACAAATCAAAATGGGACCCTTGTATACTAATTGATGCTAACCAAAATGTAATATAAAAAATAACCCAAATGCCCATCAACTACCCATCACATTGTGATCACTACACACAAGTTTTTATTCAACAACCCAAAGGGATGAACTATTGATACAGCAATAATGACAAATCTCAAGGTTTCTCTCAATGAAAGAAGACTGGCCTAAATAAACAAATATGTTTAATTCCACCTCAATAAGTCAACAAGTACAAAAGATCACTAGCAGGTGAGAGGGGGAAGGACCTGTATGAGGAAACGTAAGAGTTGATGGATGTGCACACTTCTGTGGGGATGGTTTCATGGGTGGGAGTGAGAACATCAAATTACAGCCTTTAGACATTAGATGTTTATGTCAGGGCTTGGACGCAGGCCTGAGCACTGTCCCTGAGCTTTTCCGCCCAGGCCAGAGCTCACAGCTCCACTTACAGTTTTCTGATGATTGATAGCAGATAAGCGTCTCACGGACTTTCTTACCCAGGCTGGCTTCGAACCACAGTCCTCAGATCTAAGCTTCCTGAGTAGCTAGCTAGGCGCCCAGCTAAAACTTCTTAAAAAAAATAAAAAGCACTCCCATTCGCCAGGACTCCTGAGTCAGCGGGAAGAAAGAATGGAAGCGCAGCTACGAATCACCCTCCCTAAGGGCCTGCCGCGGACACCGGCTTGGGCAGGGTTAACTCCCCCGGCACTCCCACCGACACGCTCTCCCTCGCGCATGCGTAGTAGCCACCCCGAGCTCAGCGCTGGACCCGCGGCGTCCGGACGCCCCGGCATCCCGCGCGAACGCTGGGCGCTGGGCGGACAGCCGGAGCCCACCTGGAGGTACGCGTGTTGACCCCCGGGGGCGGGTGTGGGGGGGCGCCGGCCACTTCCCCACGGGCGCAGGCCCAGGTCGCGATCGGTCCTTGGCCTAGTGTGCTGGTGGCAGCCGGTCCCCCGCGGCCTAGCCTTGGGCTGCAGGGGAGGAGGCCGGGCGTGTCTGCAGAGGTGCAGGTGGCACCACCCGGTGTGCGCCCGTCCGCGCAGGTCGGGCTGCTGGACTGTGGTTTGTGGGTGAGGCGCGAGGAAGGCCGGCGTACGCGGGCGCCCCCGGCCGGCAAGCCTGGGAATGACAGACACACCTGCCCGCACCCCAGCTGCCCCGCCTGGACGTTCCCTCACCCCCTCCCCGCTCGGTCCCTAGCCCCCCACACTTTGTTTGAACAACTCTCCACTAGAAAGGAGTTGATGAGGGCAACTCGTGGAGGGAGGGGGAGAACGTTGAGTAACTTGGAAATGAACCGTTTCGTGTTTTCCCCCTTCGCCTTCTTGTGTAGGTGGAGGCCGTCTCTCTGTGTAAGGAGTCCCGTCTCCAGTCTGCACAGGGATTCTCTTCTGAGCCCTCAGATGGCCAGTTGCCTCCAGGTCCCTGGCCCTCTAGTACACAAGGAATTGGAAGTTCTCCAGGGGTGCCCTGAGGCGTCCACCTGCAGCCCATGGAGATCCAGTTCGAGTATGAGTCTCAGGAACACCAACTTCTGACAGGTGAGGAGCAGTGTGTTGTGTACTACTCCAGGGTCTCAGGGAGAGAATGTCTCTTGTGTCTTCAAATGATATCAATCTTCTTCATTGCCTATGCACTCACTCTGCTAAGTAGTAGTATTTGTGTAGTGCTTGGAACATAGTTGTGTCTTTGAATTCTAGCAACCACATTTTTATTCGGTTCCTTCCTCTCCTTCTCCATCTGTCTTTGGTGATACTGGGGCTTGATCTCAGGGCCTCACACTTGCTGGCTGGCACTTACAGCCCTGTTTGGTTTTCTGCTAGTTATTTTGGAGATGAAGCCTCTTAGACTTTTTTACCCAGGTTGACTTTGAACTTTGATCCTCAGCTTCCTGACCAAAGCAATCACGTGACCAATTCCAGATCATTATAGAAGAAAATGACACAAAGATACTGATATTGAGAGGCTTCTTTTGTTTTTTTATTGTGAAAATACTGTACAAAGGGGTTACAATTACATGGGCAAGATAATGAGTACATTTCTTTTTTTTTTTGTAGTTAAAATACCATCATTTATTTCTAGGGGCAAACACATTTTGTGTGAAACCTAAATGAAAAAGATAACACATTATATACAAAGCTTTGGTAAAACACAGGTCTGGCTTACAATGGTGAACACTTAAGTTTGCATGTACAGTGGTGTTGCAGGGTTGTTAAGATTTATGGAAGTCCATCCTTTTGATGAACTTGATATGATGAAATTACCTAACCATACATAACCATATATATATATATATACATATATATGTATATATGTGTATATATATGTACACACATGTATGTATTTATTAAGTGAAATGTAAATAAAAATAAATATTTACATTGAATAAATTTAGTGAACCGATACTTTTCCCAAAGAATTTTACCTGAACCAATTCATGTCTTAAAGTCTCCAATACTATATTACACTTACATGGTTGCTGATCCCCTTCAGCTTTTTTTTTATTTTAATAGTTTCATTTTTATTTATTTTTTTGTGAAAATACTGTACAGAGGGGTTACAATTACATGGGCAAGATAATGAGTACATTTCTTATCAAGCATTGTAGCCTCCTCCTTTGTTTCCCCTTCCCATCCTTTCCCATCCTCCCCCCGCCCCCCCATCCTCCCCGCCCCCCCAATCCTCCCCAGCCCCCCCCCACCAAAGTTGTAAAGTTCGTTTTCGACATAACAACTTGTACATCTCATTGTTGCAATAGGTCCACCTGTATCCCTATTTAAATGATTTGTTTTTCCCCTTCCCCTCCACAAATTATACCGACATCACATACAGTGAAAGCAGGGGTTATACTGTGGGGAAGGGACATACAAAGCAACAAAGAAATCATCTTATAAATGTGTTAGAAACAATCACATGAAAGAAAAAAAACATTTGAATACATATTGAATACATATCATTTCCCTAATGTCACCTTATCTGACATTTTCTGCTTGACTCAGACATATACTAGATATTACAAATAAGGGAAACCATGGGACCTATGTTTCTTTGGGCCTGGCTTATTTCACTTAATATAATTTTTTCCAAGCCTTTCCATTTCCTAACAAATGGAGCAATGTCATTCTTTCTGATGGAGGCATAGAATTCCATTGTGTATATATACCACATTTTCTTGATCCATTCATCTACTGAGGGGCATCTGGGTTGGTTCCATATCTTAGCTATGGTAAATAATGCTGCAATAAACATAGTTGTGCTGGTAGCTTTAGTGTGGTCTTGTTTGTGATCATTTGGGTAAATGCCCAAAAGTGGGATTGCTGGGTCATAGGGGAGCTCTATGTGGAGTCTTTTGAGGAACCTCCATACTACTTTTCAAAGTGGTTAAGCAAGTTTACACTCCCACCAACAATGCAGTAAGGTTCCCTTCTGTCCACATCCCCTCCAGCATCTGTTGTTTAATTAGAGTTCTTGAGAGGCTTCTTTGAGGTCCATTCCTTCTATAAGAAATACCACAGGCTTGTCACGTGGGCATATAGGTTCACATATACCTAAACTCATATACTCAGAAGGCAGAAATGGGGAGGATTGTGATTTGAGGCAAACTTTAGCAAAAAGTCAGCAGTACCCTGACCCTGTCTCAACTAATAAGCCAGACATATGTAGGAGACATAGATAGATGGATCCTGGTCAGATCCCAGCCCCAGGCAAAAAGCTGGAGACTACTGGAAAAATCACTAAGGGCTGGGTTGTGCTCAAAATGAAAAGACTAGCAATCAGATTACTACACTCCCAATACATCAGGAAAATCAGCATCTGATGAGACTGCCCTTTCTTTGCTAGTTGATCTAGAGTTACTCCATCTCCTATTAAAACCCTAGAATTGAATTAACTCTGGTGTTCTTCATATTAATTAATTGAATTAATATAGTGTAACTGTGAGAACCAGAGGCACTGGAAGTCCCGCCCCTTGCTGTTGTCACCCCACTGGGATCACTGGGGAGGGGGGCACCTAGAGAGAGAGAAAGAGACTGACTGGGTGTTACAAGAGAGGTGGGAGAGAAGGAGACACAACAGGAAAGAGATATCTCCTGGAGCAGAGCAGTACCCAGAGGAGAACCCAGGCCCACGGAGATTCCTGAGGAGACAGTGCCAACAGAGAGGCCTGCAGAATGCTCTGTGGAGAGCAGAGAGGCCTGTGAAGAGCCAAGAGGCCTGCAGACAGTGGAGGCCTGCAGAAAGTGGCAAGGCATATGGAGAGGCCCACAGAGATCTGAAAGGCCTGCGGAGAGGTGGAGAGGCCTGTGGAAACTTGCCCCCTTGAACGTTGCAGCTGTTCCTAGTTCTGAGGTAACCCAGGACAGGACAGTTGCAGACCAACTAATAAAACTCCTTTGTCACCTTTAACCGAGGCTCTGTGGATTTTCTCACTCCCAGGTCATTATATAACTAATATTAGTACAGTATAACTAAACATGCTGTAACTGAGGTATTATAATTTACTGGCTACATATATTGTATATATATATATCACTTTTAATTGTGCATTTTAATGAGTTTTAACATATTTAATATGCTCACTATAATCAACACTCCCTTCTCCTCCCCCCCCCCACACAATATTTCCTTATTAGTCATTCTAGTCTATCTCCATTCCTAGGGTACCACTTGATTTTTGTCACCATTTATTTGATTCAGATTCCCTAACATTTTGTATAGTTGGAATCATACTTTTGCATACCAGCAGTCTTCAATCTGGTTTTGGGGGGAGGGGTTGGGGGGCAGTCATGGAGCCTGAACTCTGGACCTGGGCATTGTCCCTCAGCTCTTCAGTTCAAGGCTAGCACTCTACCACTTGAGCCACAGCGCCACTTCTGCCTTTTTTTTTTTCTGCTTATGTGGTGCTAAAGAATTGAACCCAGGGCCTCAAGCATGCAAGGCAAGCACTCTACCACTGAGCCACCTTCCCAGCCCATGTTTTTTTTTTTAAATATATATTCATCCATATTTTGTTTTTATTTTCTTTTGGTAGTCCTTGATGATTACACTCAGGTCCTCAGCCTTGTTAGGAAGCACTGTACCACCTGAGGTTCACCCACAGTCTTCATGTTGCGTTATCAGTAATTTTTTCTTAATTGTTGACTAATATTCCATTGTTTGGCTCTATAACAACTTATTGACTCACCCAATGATGGACATTCAGATTGTTTTTGTTTGGGCTGTTTTTTACTTGTTTGTGTTAATCTCTCTTATTCATCTGTTGTGTTACTATGTACTGTCCATGAGAGAATTAAGAAAATAATTTCTTACATTATTTTTTGGTACAAGTGATTGAACCTTTTATATGCTAGGCATAAAACCTGATTTCCTTCTCACTGACCCTTATCTGCCAAGTATTGTCACTTGTGTGCCAGAAGAACTGAACTTTACCAGTAACACTAGAAGTAGTAAATTAAAATAAAGAGCAATACATTCTGTGGATCTATTAAAATTCTAAGGCAGCCTTTTTTGACCATAGGTCCAAAAGACAACAAAACAGTTCAAAACTAAATAAGATACTGGTGTCTGTTCAGTTCTTTGTTTTTTTAGCAGAAAACATTTTTTTATTGTGAAAATATTGTACAGAGGGGTTACAATTACGTGAGCAAGGTAATGAGTACATTTTTTATCAAGCATTGTTGCCTCCTCCTTTGTTTCCCCTGACTATCCCTTCCAATCTCCCCCATCCCACCCCTCCCCACTCACCCCCAAGAAATGTATTCTTTGACTCCTGTAACTGTAACCCCTCTGTATATCACCTTTACAATAACAATAAAAATACATTAAAATTTTTTGTTTTAGTCAAGGAGTTTAAATACTTTTGAAAAAGAACAAAATTAGAGAAGTTAAAACTACAGAAATCCGTTCAGTGTGGTAATGCCATAAAGAGAGAAACATTTCTTTTTGGACAATGTCACCTTTCCCTCATCCATGACTTTTAAATAAATTTTAGAATCAGTTTGTCAATTTCTACTCCCCCACCCCCAAAAAAAGCCAGAGGGACTTTGATGCTGCTCTCAACAAATAAGTCAATTTGTAAAGTATTTTAATAACATTAAATCCTGGCTGGACATTGGTGGCTCACGACTAGCTACTCAGGAGACTGAGGTTTGAGGATGGGTGTTCAAAGCCATCTGGGGCAGGAAACACTGTGACACTTTTATCTCCAGTTAACCACTAGGAAAGCAGAAGTGGAACTGTAGCTCAAAGTGGTAGAGTGGCTAGCCTTGGGCTGAATTGTCCAGGGACCAAGTTCAAGCCTGATGACTAACAAAAACAAAATCTTGCTATCCACAAATAGTGGTATATTTTCCAATTTATTACATCTTTTTCAGCTTATCTTGGCAGGATTTTATAATTTTCATTTTATAAATATCACATATATTTGTATTGCATTTGAAACCTTTCATATCAGGGTACAATTTTTAAATGTTTAAAAATTTTATTATAACTTCATTGCATTTATAGAGAAATACAGTTAGCATTTGTATATTGCTCTAATGAACTCATTTGCAAGTTCCAGCAGCCTTTATAAGATTCTGGATTCTTTTATAAGGTTCTGTGTATGTGACTGATCATTTCTCAGTAAAGACAATTGAGTTTTGTCTTCCCTATTTGTATGTCATAATTACTCTTCATGTTTTATTTCATTGGCTATCAATGTTGAATAGAAATGGTACAGTGTGGTACAATGTTGAACAAAAGTGATGAAAGTGACCATTTGTGCCTTGTTCCTAAAAAATGTATTTAATATGTAATATCAAACTATTTTACCTGTAGATTTTCCTTTGCTTTTTATTGGAGTGGGCGGTTTACATATAACATAACTGATATATTTGGATGTGTCTGTACCAGCTTCTTGTTTATTTTGATTTTAAAACTATCTTTTCGGCCTGTTTTCTCCTTTTGTATATAATTGTACATTATCAGGTATTTGAAGTGTTTTGGGTTTTTTTCTTTTATTCATTTTTCTCTATTATATTTTAGTTGTTACTTTATCATAGTCTTTGTCAAATACAGTTCTACAAGTGAATTAAATCCCAATGTTCTAGGCATCTATTATAAATAATGTGTTAATCTCTCTTATTCATCTGTTGTGTTACTATGTACTGTCCATGAGAGAATTAAGAAAATCATTTCTTACATTATTTTTTGGTACAAGTGATTGAACCTTTTATATGCTAGGCATATGCTCACCCCTGAGCTATAGCCCCCATTTCTATTTTCTGTTTTGTTGTCTTTTGGACCTATGGTCAAAAAAGGCTGCCTTAGAATTTTAATAGATCCACAGAATGTATTGCCCTTTATTTTAATTTACTACTTCTAGTGTTACTGGTAAAGTTCAGTTCTTCTGGCACACAAGTGACAATACTTGGCAGATAAGGGTCAGTGAGAAGGAAATCAGGTTTTATTATAATAAACCAACTGCTGGGGAAAGTGGCTGGACTCTTGTCCTAGTGTCCATTTCAAAGAATCCAGGTCTGGCAAAAGGGTATTTATGAGAAGGAGAAAGTGGAAAGTGAGCTAATGGACAGGAAAGCTATGTGCTGAGTTGTGTCTCTTAGGGAAGAGTGTTTTTTTTCTCTCATCTGTGATGACCCCTAAGCCATTCTTCAGATAAATACTTTATTTTCATGTAAAGCTAAACTTCCTATTTTTAATTACAGAGCAGGATTAGCAAATCCTTGGTCCGTGCTTTGATGCTATTGAAGCCCACCAGCTGGTTCTAGATTTGAAAAACTAAGATTACAGATGAGAAGGTCCAGACCTATGTTTTCTCTTTGTTCTTCTCTCCTAGGATAATTATGTCTGAAGTAGAGATAGATGGCAGTAGTGGTGAATATCGCAGACACTCAAAGGTGGGGAGGCATCTGTTAAAAGTTTTCCATTTGTGACCATTTTAGTGGTACTAATAGGATGCTGGCACTGGCATGACCTTCCGGACCAGGAGGTGTGATGGGCTCCCACAGAATTGAAGGAAGTTTGTGGGGAATTGGTAGTAAACAGGTAGACCCAATTATATGAGCAGTGAAACCATAAATGTTTTTTCTACTTTTATGATTTGTTACTTGATGGCATTTGATGACAGGCCAAATGAAGGCAGTATGTTCCAAAGACAGCCATCCAAAAGGTTCCCTGATCACCAGTTTAATAACCAGCCTCAAGTTCATCTGATTGCCAACAGCTAGTATATAAAATTCATCCTGGGTGGACAAAGGATTCCACCAACTTTCAGAAGACAGTTATGGAGTCAGGGGCCTATAGTAAACAGATGACAAGGAATAGAGACCAGGTAAATTATTAGAATTTTGGCTGGTGTGCTTGATAGGAAATACCTAATGTTTAAGGAAAAATAATACAAAATGCTTAGCTGTCTTATCATCTGGCCCTTCCTATAGTCTGTCATTTGGAAGATCAATTTGGCAGTGGTAGTAAGCTCAAACCCCTGAGCAGTGCTCAACAACTCCCAGCCATCTACTTGCCTTTCTTCTAGACTGTAGCATACTGCTTACCTTACATATGTTAATAAATTGCTTGTTTGTTGGCTCCTATTTAGTCACACTTTCATAAGCATAGTAAACCGATTTCAGTATTACCAGTTCTCCTATGACAATCATATAAAGTATATCTTGTGAATGACTTCTATGCATGATTAATGTGACCTATTACTTGTTGGTTCTTCTTAATTTTCCTCTCAAATGGTAATTTTCCGTGTTTTGGAGGAATCCTGTATGGTTATGATATTTGTAGGTAAATACTGATCTGTTCCAACTGAAACAGATGAAGGTACAGAGTATGTATTCTATTTGAAATTTCTTTTTTCTTGTTCCAGATGATGAGACTAAGATCAAGATTGGAGAACCAGCTTCAGAGGAGGAAATTATAGCAGAGCCACTGACTGAAGAGTCTGGCAATACCAGAACAGATCTTCTCCAGGATAATGAATACAGAGAATTCTGTGAACTCGGAGATAAACTGGATGAAGAGGATGAGAACTTCCTAAAAAAAAGACAGCTTAATTGTGATGGATGTGACAAAAGCTTTGCCTGGAGTACAGGCCTTCTTAAGCACCAAAGAACCCATTGGGAGAAACCCTATGAATGTGATGAATGTGGAAAAGCCTTTCGTATGAGGTCTGCCCTGGTTCTACATCAGAGAATTCATACTGGTGAGAAACCCTATCCTTGTCATTGGTGTGTCAGAAGTTTCATTCGGAGCTCAGACCTTATTAAACATCAGCGAGTCCACACAGGTGAAAAACCTTATAAATGTGATGAATGTGGGAAAGCCTTCAGTCAGAGCTCAGATCTCATCATCCATCAGAGAATTCATACAGGAGAAAAGCCCTATCAGTGCAGTCATTGTGGTAAAAGTTTTAGCCAACACTCTGACCTAGTAAAACATCAGCGAATCCATACTGGAGAGAAGCCTTATACATGTAACCAGTGTAACAGACGCTTTAGTCAGAGTTCTGATGTTATAAAACATCAGCGAATCCACACAGGAGAGAAGCCATATAAGTGTGATGTGTGTGGGAAAGCCTTCAGTCAGAGCTCAGATCTTATTCTACATCAGAGAATCCACACTGGGGAGAGGCCATATCCATGCAATCTGTGTAATAAAAGCTTTAGTCAGAACTCAGACCTTATTAAACATCTAAGGATTCACACTGGAGAGAAACCCTATAAATGTAATGATTGTGGAAAGGCTTTTAACCAGAGCTCAGTCCTTATTCTACATCAAAGAATTCACACCGGAGAGAAACCTTATCCATGTAATGAATGTAGCAGAACCTTCAGCAGGCTTTCAGATCTTATGAATCATCTGCGAATTCACACTGGTGAGAAACCTTTCCCATGTACTCAGTGCAGTAAAATGTTTAGTCGAAGGTCAGACCTTGTTAAGCATTACAGAATTCACACAGGTGAGAAGCCCTATGAATGTGATGAATGTGGAAAGACTTTCAGTCAGAGCTCCAACCTTATTCTACACCAGAGAATCCACACCGGAGAGAAACCCTATCCATGTCATTATTGCACTAAAAGTTTTAGTCGCCGCTCAGATCTTGTAAAGCATCAAAGAATCCACACTGGTGAGAAACCCTATATGTGTAATGTTTGCCGGAAAAGTTTTAGTCAAAGCTCAGATCTCACTAAACATCACAGAATACACTCTGGTGAAAAGCCCTACCATTGCACTAGTTGTGAGAAAGCCTTCAGTCAGAGTTCTGACCTCATCCTTCATCAGAGGATTCACACTGGAGAAAGGCCGTACCTGTGCATGTGGTGCAACAGGGGCTTCAGTCAGAACTCAGACCTTATCAAACACCAGAGAATCCACACTGGAGAAAAACCGTACGTATGTAACAAGTGTGGGAAGGCATTCAGTCAATGCTCAACACTTATTTTACACCAGAGAACCCACACCGGGGAGAAACCCTATTCATGTGTTCAGTGTGGCAAAAGCTTTAGCCGGCGCTCAGATCTCATTAGCCATCAAAGAATCCACACTGGTGAAAGAACATGTAAAGGTTATAGATATGGGGAAACAGTCAGCCTGGACACAGAACTGAATGGACAGCAGAGCAGCCACACTGAAGACAAACTCTTCCAGTGTGTTCAGTGTAATAGGTGTTTTAGCCAACTCTCTGATCTTCTTGATCATGAAAATCTCCATGCTGAGGAAGACAATCTAACTGAGATGGGTGTGGGGAAACCTTTATAGTGTGTGCACCAGCATTATTCAGGACCAGAGATAACCATACCAGAACAAAAACCTTATGAATGTAATTAAAGAGCGTGAAATAAGGTCTTACTCAGTGTTCAACTCATGCTACATTTAGAAAACTATGAAGAAAAAAAAAGCAACTTGATTTTTGTTATTCAATGTGTCGGCTTTGGCAGTACTGAAAATTGAGAAAAATACTAAGGAAGAATTCTGGGAGTTGTGGGGAAAACTTCGTTGTTAATAAATTTTTTTCATGAATGTTAGTAAGCAGCAATAGAAAGAAATTCTTGGTTGTGTAAGAGAAACTAGACTTTTATTCAGACACAGTGCACAAGAGGGACGTTATATCACAGGAAGGAATGTACAACAACATTAATATAGGATTTATCAGATTAAAAAATCAGCATGGAAAAGAGATCTACAAGATTCAGCAGGAAATGTGTCCATTTTAGAATCCCAAACCTTTAGTGAGTCCAAATTACCAATTGCATAAAAGAAGTTATTTTAGAAAATGTGGCTGAGGAATGGTGGCTCTTGCCTGTAATCCCAGCTACTCAGGAGACAGAGATCAGGAAAGTCTAAGTTTGAGGTCAGCATAGACCCCATCTCAACCATGCCAGAAGCCATAGGTAAGATGGTTGCATTCTGAGGCCCACCTTGGGCAAAAACATGAGGCCCTACCTGAAAAACAACTAAATCACAAAAGGGATTAGGATATGATTTAATCAGCATAATGCATTGAGCTCAAGCCCTAGTACTAATGGGTAAGCAGTGTAATCTTGATAAATGAGAATTCGAATCTACAACAGAGGTAGCAAACTAGGCTAGAATTCCTTATATTTGTTTTCCTTTTTTTCTTTTTGTTTTCTTTCTTTTTGTAGTACTGCTGGAACTCTTTATGTGAAACTTGTATACAATATATAGCAATGTTACCTTTTCTAATTCCTAGTAGAAATAATTTGTACATCAGTCTGACTATAAATTTGTCAATTTTATTAAGCTTTTTTTTACAAGACAAGTTTGAGTTTAAATAGATTATAGAAATTTATTTTTGGTTTTTGTTGATTACTGATGTAATCTTTGTTATTCTTATATGTTTTTACTTTAGGTTTATTGTTGGCCTATCTTTTTTGTTGGTTTGTATCAGTCTTAGGGCTTGAACTCAGGGCCTAGATGTTGTCCCTGAACTTTTTTACCCAAGTGCTAACATTCTAGCTCGATTTCTGGCTCTGTGTGTGTGTGTGTGTGTGTGTGTGTGTGTGTGTCTGTATCTGTCTGTATGTGTGTCTCTGTGTCTGTGTCTGTGTCTGTGTGTGTTTAATTGGACATAAGAGTCTCACTTTTGTGCTCATGCAGGCTTCAAACTGAGATCCTCAGATGTTATTCTCTTGAGTAGCTAAGCATGTGCCACAAGCAACTGGCTATTTTATCTTCTTAAGTAGAAGTGGTTGAATTGAATTTGTCTCCAAATACAGAGGTAGTATAAGTTTTCCCTTAACTTTAACTGCATTTCATCAATTATTATTGCTATTTTAATATGCTTTATTTTTAGAGCAGTCTGAAGGTACAAAATTGCCCATATCCTTCATATGCATATACATGGATAGTAACTTATCACCCCAAACCCATATTCTTAGGGTTTGCCTTTTGTGTTGATGTGATACAGAATAGTTTCACCGCTTTAAGAATTCTCTGTGCTTTACCCAATCATCCCCTAACCTTTGGATCTGATTGCATTGTGTGAACCTATTTTGGACTATTTTGTGGGTCTGTTTATTCTTTGTAGTAAGTCATGATGTCTCACAGTGTTAGTCTTCCAGCTTTTTTCTTCCATGTTGTGTCTTGGTCTTTTGCCTCTCCTTACAAACTTTAGATACATGTTGTCAGTATTCATCAAATAATTTCATTTAGATTGAGATAGACAATCTATACAACAAGTTGAGAACTATCATCTTGATGATACTGGGCTTCTTATCCATGAAAATGGATTATCTGTCAAGTTCTTTGATTCATCAGTTTTGTAGTATTCTTAATATCGATCTTGCACATTTTGTTAAATTTATACGTTTCAGTTTCTAGAGATGTCAGTATAAGTGCTACTATGTTTTTAATTTCAAATTTAACCTTTTCATTTTTAGTATATTACTTGTAATTGTGTGTGTGTGCTGGTCTTGGGACTTAAATTTGGGGCCTAGGTGCTGGCTCTTAGCTTAATTGCTCAAGGTGAACACTCTACCACTTGAACCACAGCTCTACTTCTGGCTGTTTTTGTTAATTGAAGCTAAGAGTCTCACACACTTTCCTGCCCCCACTAGCTTAGAACCATAATCTTCAGATCTCAGCCGTCCAGTAGCTAGGATAACAGGTGTGAGCCAGCAGGGCCAAGCTCATGACTTCCAATGTCTGATTGCCTGTCAGGCATTATATACTGTGCATTGTTGGCTACTAAATATATCAAGATCCAAATACATTGAGCATTGTATGGGATGTGTTTACCTCTGAGGTCTTACATTTTTTTCAGTCAGTGTTTAGTCTACGGTTCATGTTTTCCTACTTATAAATTAAAACTTGCGCTAGTACTCCGGTACTGCTACTACTACTAGTAGTTGAGTTTCTCAACTTTAGCAACATAGTCATTTGGGATGGGTTGCTGCCTTGTTCTACATAGTAGGATGTTTATCAGCATTTCTTGCCTATATTCAGTAGATGTCAGTAGTGCCTACTTCATGACCAAAATGTTTGGGGGAGAGGTATGATTTTGAGGATCACTGCTCTTATGTCCTGTAGATTGTGAAGCTTTTCTGAAGAGTTCCAGTGATTTTTTGCTCTAATCCTGGATTTGCCTCCTCCACTCTCAAATACTCAAGGAGGACTTGTAGTACTCTTTCCATGTCATTATCTACTCTCTGGTATTCATCTGCAAAAGCTAAGCCATGTTACCCTGGACTCTTTGCTCTCCATCTGCTCCACTGAGACTGACCCCTAAACTTCCTCACCTCCATCTAGATGCACTCTCCAGGTGGTAAACTGCTGTTATCCTCACGTTTCCTATCTCTATCCTTGCCTTTATTTTTTTAGGCAAGTTACAGTTAACACCTGTATATACCACCTCAGCCTGAAAACTTCAGTTTTGGAATAATAAAGTGTTTGTTTGCTAATTAAGAAAATACAAAAAAGGGGCTGGGAAGGTGACTCAGTGGTAGAGTGCTTGCCTTGCATGCCTGAGGCCCTGGGTTCGATACCTCAGCACCACATAAGCAAAAAGAAAAAAGCCAGAAATGGTGCTGTGGCTCAAGTGGTAGAGCGCTAGCCTTGAGCTGAAGAGCTGAGGGACAGCGCCCAGGCCCAGAGTTCAGGCCCCACGACTGGAACCCCCCCAAAAAAAGAAAGAAAATACAAAAAAGAAGAAAATATGCGCTAGAGGGTTAGAAGAGTGTATAAGAGTGTATTTCTGAGTAGGTGTGATGACTTCAATCCAGTGGTAAAGTTAACTTTGAGCAGCAGCCCTGGCAGCTGACGTATCTGAAGACAGAAGAAAAGCAAAGAATCCACACCAGCATATTCTTGAGTTATTTTCTATGTCCTAAATATCTGCCTTAACATGTCTATTGAGTGGCGATGCAGTTTAGATGGCAGGGACCGGGAGGGTTCCTCTTGAGACAGTGAATCTGATCTGTGTAAGGAAGCAGGTAGAGACTGGTGAATGTTCCAGGTCTGGGAAGAGCAAGTGCAGAGAACCTGATGTAAAAATGCTTATTTTGCTTGAGACAGTAAGGAGGCTGGTGTGGCTAGACCCGAATGAACACGGGTCAAAGATGAGTCTGGAGAGAAAGGAGGAGGGCAGAAGGCAAAGTCGAACCTAGCTGACTACTGGTAAAATACTTTTACTTTGAGAAAGGAGTGATAATACAAATAAAGTTGAACAAGGTCTCCACCTACTTTAAGTTCTTAAAATATCTTTACATATTTCCTTATTTATGAAGGTAGTAATAGGGAGCAGGGGAATCATCCATGCCACCCATGGGTCTGCATTTCTAGTAACATCCTAACATTTTGATGTTCTTCATTGACCTTGACTTATAATCAGGGATTGAGCCCCAGCAGCTTTAAGCACAGGCTTGAAATAAAATGAAGGTCTCCACCATGTTGAGATGGAAGCCATGGGAAGGACTGTAAGGGACAGATACAGGTAATGCAGTTACGAGGTGGATGCACAGAGACTCAGCATAATACCCAGCCATCATAGAGTCCTGGATTAATGAGTCTGGAAAGATAGGAAGAATTGATTGTATGAAAAGTTGCAGACATTTTTAACACATTATTCACTTATTGTTGGAATATAATGTATGCATGCATGGTGTGTGTCGGGGATGAAGTAACAAATGAGAGAGGCTGATGTGGAAGGCCATTCTAATTTTATTATAATGCATGAAGTCTAGAGTTTAAAATTACATTTTCTACAAATCAATAAGAAAATACAAATAACCTATATTAATCAGGACAGAAATCAAATTCAATTACCATAAACAAGGAGGAGACTTTATTGGCTCACAAAATTTTAAAGTCCAGAGGTAGGGCAGGCTTTAGGCACAGCTGGATCTAGGGCCTCCATAAAAATGACATCTGAATGTGGTTCTTTCCATTTCTGTTAGCCTCCAATTGTCTCTTCGTTCTTTATCCATGTGGTAAAAATTCAGGCTTATATGGTCCTTGGTTCCTGGCATCCCCATAAAGCTGCCTTTCCAGTAGTTCCAGCAGAAGTTCTGTTGAAGGCTCTCTTTAGCCTAGGTTAACTTACTGTATGCTTGCTTTCATTGAAGTGGCTAGGGAGCTGTGGAACTGAGGATGCCAGGCTTGGTTATGTGCTCACTTATGTCACATGGAATGAGTTCACAATAAATAAAGGTTCTGTTACCAAAGAAGATGGGACAGGAGATGCTAAGAAAAAAAAACACCAAAAACCAAAAATCATATCCACACTTAACACACGTAACCCAACAGATATGCAGGGAAAGTTTACCAACAACCCATGGTAAAACTATAAAAGACCAACAGACATGAGCATGACTCCCAACTCCATTATTAACCAGGGAAATGCAAAATGAAGTATTTTTACTTTGCCCAAGAGATGAACACTATAGAGGTAAATCTATGCAGGGACATGAGTTTTCCAAGTAGCTGGTAGAAATATAGAAGTTACTGGGGCTCTCTCAGAATGCTTAGAGGGATGGCCTGTCAGGCAGAAAGCCTTTCAACCCAACAATCCACCTTATAGAACTCCACCTAAAAAATATTCACACACATGCACAAAGACATCTGAGTATGATGTTCACTTTGACAATATTAACAGCAGGGGGGAAAAAGGAATGGCATTTTCATAGTATTTAATCCCATTAAAGAAACAAGCAATTCATACATATAATAATTCTACTTATGTAAAAATAATGTATGGAAAGGGTACTCTGAAGGTGTATTCTAGGAAGTCCTGGAGAAAAGTTTCTGCTCTTGCACTGATATTGCATGTTAAGTTCTGTATAATGAGAAGCGAGTCATTTATACTATACCCCCAAAAAACAAAAACAGGCAAAAGTAATTCACAACATAATGACACACATTTGAAAAGGTGTTCCTGCAAACAAAGGCACAACAAAGTACAACATAGCCGGGCGCTAGTGGCTCACGCTGGTAATCCTATCTACTCAGGAATCTGAGATCTGAGGATTGTAGTTCAAAGCCAGAAAAGTCCATGAGACTGTTATTTTCAACTAGCCACCAGAAAACCAGAAGTGGACCTGTGGCTCAAAATGGTAGAACGCTAGCCTTGAGCAAAAGGACAGCACTCAAGCCCTGAGTTCAAGCCACATGACCAGCAAAAAACAAAAACAAAACAAAAAACAAAAATAACACATCCTGCCTATCGGATGGGCAAAAATTTTAAGTATTCAGGGCTGGCAGTACACACAGCATTCTTACTATTGATGGAATCGTAATTAGTGTCTATATGATGGTACTTCCCAGCCATGTCAAATGTGTATTCTCTTGACCCAATAAATACATTTCTAGCTATTTATATTACAGAAATACCCACACAGGTAGTAGAACGTATGTATAGGGATGTCAACCTGTATCTATAAAGCTAATCATCCATCAATATAGCGTTGGTTAGATGAATTAAGAGTATATTCATGCAAGAGAATAGTATAGCTATGGAAAAAATGTCTACACCAATATGGGTAAAGGGAGGCATCTCAGTGCAGTACATATATGAAGTTACTTACCTACCTCATGTGGTTGCTAAGGATTAAGACTTAATCCATAATAAAGAGCTACAATTGGTTCCTGTACATATCAACCCAAAGTGCTGGCTATTAACAAATTTCTGCTCAAATATTCCTATGTCTAGAAGCTGGAACGACAACAAACCAAATTACCACTTCTGGATAAGGCTGTTTTTACATTCATTTTACATTTCTGTACTATGAAAATCTGAAATGAACTAATAGTTTTACATTTGCTCAAACAAAAGCAGTATTGATTAAAATTTAACTGCGACCACTCATAACACAAAAATCATGTCCTTGGAGTCTACAGAACTAGATTTGAGTTTTAGCTCTAGTTAGTCACATGCAAGTCAAGATCTGAATCTTACTTTCCTAGTCTACAATTATTGAGGTAGGTATAGTGTCTAATCCAATGCTCAGCATGCAGATTATTTAAAAACATGGAACCCTCCCCTTAGCTTACACAAATGTAAGACACTGCTAAATAACTAGATGTTAACTGAGTGTGAATATGAACAGCATAACCTCCAAGGCCATCAGAACATTTACCAGAAACCAACAGATACTCAGCAATCTATGTGCCCTGACAACGCTGCTCATTTGCTAAACAGATATTCTAGTTAGGACACTGGTTGTTGCCGTATCACCACTAAGCTGGGTACCTCCCCCAGCTCACTGATTACCTGATCGGGTATGGATGAATATTTGGATGAAATCATAAATCACACCAAAGTTACTTTAAGTCAGTTTGTCTAGTGGGGGCTTAAGCCTAACTAGAGATGGTAAATACACATCCCATCATTCCCGCCCTTATATACCAATATCAATGTTTTCTTGTTTGTTTTGATCCAGTCTCCTTTCTCCAGACCTTTCCCTTGCCCAAGGATCATTTCTGAACAATGTACAGATATCAGACCTGGAACCAGATCACATCTGCTAACTCATTTCTGTGCTCTCATATTACCAAACATCTTTGGCATAACACATCTACCCCAGGGAAGCTTCCTTGTATATAGAAAAGACGATCTTTAAAATGTGAAATTCCAGCATTCCAAATATGCCACCTCAAAACCTACTTGGAAAAAAGGCCAGTTATAAATAAATCAATCAAGATCATTTTATCTCAGAGCAGAAGAGTTTATAGCTTTATTGGAAATTGACTTGTTTCCTCCCAGCACAGAGAAAGACTCAAACAAAAGTCCCTACACTTTCTGGTATAACTTAAAATACATTATATCATTACTACATATTTATACTTCAATAAATCTTAAGTCTATAAAGCACATTTCTTATAATTGTTATCAGAAAAATCTATAAACAAGCTCCATTCTGCCTCAGTTCTCACCAGCTGGCCTTGAATTTATTACTTTTCTCATACAAATCTCATCTTACATTTTAAAATTTGATCCAAGAACCAGATATAAACCAAAACTCCAGAACTATGCACTATCTATATTTGCCTGGATCACCTCACATACAATGATGACCATTTTAAAAGCCTTTTCTTATATTCAATGTTTTAACTTCCAGAATTTTCCACCCAACAGTAGAACCACAGTACTCGGAATTCTCAGCCAAGGAGTATAAAATCCTACTACTACAATGTATTACTTTAATACATTTTTTTAAAAAATGCGTTAGAATGAAAATCAAAAATACTTCAACCAATTCTGTTAATAAACTAGTTAATAGCCTAGTTGTTTATTTTTAAAGTAGTCCATTCAACTTAACATGTAAGTATGATCTATTCTTCTAGAAACTGAGTACATGTTTTGAAAAACATTCCTCCTCCAAACTGTGACACAGAATTATCTTGTACTCACCTCTGAAGAAGACTCCTGGAGAGCTAGCTAGGTCTGAGCCCAGTCCTTCTCTCCTTCCAAACACAACACCCTACTAAAAGAACTACTGCTCTGGAAATCTCAGAGGTAACTTCCCCTGTGAATGCTGATAGGGAAAGAGGCTAAATACATAAAAAGGCTTCTTACTAACCCTCCTAGGACTTACAGTAAAAGAAACACCTACCTACTTAGGGTAGGATTACAGTACCTAGCACAGTGCCTTCTCAGTAGAAAATGTTTACTAATAAACACATGGCTGTTCTAGCCTGTTGTCAACCCTTTTGTACCAAAGGAAAATAGCAAACCTGATACTTGTTTGTCCTCTTGTCAGGCATTTTTTCTGTACTTAACAAAGATAAAGGTAAAATAACAATGAATTACATCTGTGAATCTTTCTCTAAAAGCCAAGACAGATTACCTTATACCATATGCTACAAATTCCTCCTTAGTGTTCTCTTTATACTTTTATAGCTATTGTTTAGACTGTCTACTCTTTAATAAAACATGGGGAAAAAACATTTGTTTTCATTAATAAGATGTGTCCTAACGAATGAGTTTTGTTTTTATTCTTTTTCCTGCAGAAAGATAACTGTACTTAAGAAAAACTGACACACTTGACTGCTTAGATCCAAGTACCTGGGTATCTTCCCAACGTGGATGTCCTCCCTTCCCTTATGAAGGAAGTGCTACATCACTTCTCTGAGATCTTAAGGCTCATTTTCTTTGAGGCTATTATCCATCCTTTATTTTCTATTTTCTCAAATATATATTCAAATGATGTAAAAGGAAAGAGGTCAGTTTTTTACAAGATACTTTTAAGTGGATGATGATGGTTCTCAGACTTTATAGTCCCTATTCTGACTTTTAAAAGTAGAAGGGAATGTATACTTACACAAAGCATTTCAATGATCAAATCATAAACAAGGTATCTGTCTAGAAAACTTTTAAGGGACAAAGAATCAGGTAGTTCATTGTTTGGAGGAAAAAAATAGAAAATACATCACATGTAAAATTTAGGCATTAACACCTGAATTAAATTTAAATTTTCAGTTTCTAGGCAGGCATAACACCATTTCTTTCCAGATAAAATATTAATGGTGAGCGAAGATTTCTTTTATATTTCCCAGTGGACTTTTCTGACAGTCAACAGGGAAAAAAACTATTCTGTATAACTTCATGTTTTAATTGTGTCTTTATATCTGAAGAAAAAGACCTGAGTGTTGATTTTTTTTTTTTTTGTAATTTCTTAAACTTTCACAACATTCAGAAGTTTCTCTGCATTGTGTCTTCTCTGGTGTCTAAAAAGATTTGAGCTTTGACTATAGGATTTCCCACATTGAACACATTCATAAGGTTTCTCCCCAGTATGAATTCTCTGATGATTAATAAGCCCAGAATTCTGGCTAAAGGCTTTCCCACATTCAAGACATTTGTAAGGTTTTTCTCCAGTATGGACTCTCTGGTGTTGCACAAGGATGGAACTTCTGCTGAAGGCTTTCCCACATTCAACACATCCATAGGGCTTCTCCCCACTGTGAATTCTCTGATGAAGAATAAGGGCCGAGCCTTGACTGAAGTGTTTTCCACATTCATCACAAATATGTTGTTTCTTTCGAGAGGGATTTCTCTTTCTTTCAAATCTTCCCTTGGGGAAGCAGGCTTCTCCATATTTAAAAATTTGAGGAACACCTATATTAAGAGCACCAGGAACGCCATGAGATTCTCCTGTTGAAGCAATCTCCTGCTTTGAAGCTAGTGCTCCATTTTCAGTCCTGGTATCATCCTCTGAAACAAACAAAATATGTAAATATCCCTCAAATTCTACCTGGGGACCAAGGGAAAACATTTTCTTGAAAAAAAGAAATTTTAGGTGAATATCTTGTGCAGATACTAAAGATAGCACTCTGAAAACTACTGTTAAGGTTGTTTACTCCCAAAAGAAAAAATAAATGACTGATTTTCACTTTAAAAAGGTACTGGTGTGGTAACAGAATGACACAAATGATTCTACTAAACATTCTGAAGGGAGTTACAAATGGTAGATTCTAAGATGATCAGGGAGACAGTCACTTTTAACAGGAATAGGCCTAAATGTAACATTGTAAGAAAAAAAAAGAATGACATTGCCCCATTTCTTAGGAAATGGAAAAACTTGGAAAAAATTATATTAAGTGAAGTAAGCCAGGCCCAAAGAAACATAGGTCCCATGGTTTCCCTTATTTGTAATATATAGTATATGTATGAGTCAAGCGGAAAAGGTCAGATAACGTGATGTTAGGAAAATGAACCCTTAGATATGCATTTTAATGTTTTTTTCTTTCATGCATTTGTTTCTAACACATTTATAAGATTATCTCTTTGTTGCTTTGTATGTCCCTCCCCCACAGTATAACCCCTGCTTTCACTATATTTGATGTCAGTATAACTTGTGGAGGAGATGGGGAAAAACAAGTCGTTTAAGGATACAGGTGGACCTGTTGCAACAATGAGAAGTACAAGTTGTCATGTCCAAAACAAACTTTACAACGTTGGTGGGGGGGGGGGGGGGGGGAGGCTGGGAAGGGATGTGAAGGGTAAACAAAGGAGGAGGCTGCAATGCTTGATAAGAAATGTATGCATTATCCTTCCCATGTAATTGTAACCCCTCTGTACAGTATGTTCACAAAAAAATAAAATAAAATGAAAAAAAAAATGACCATCAGGAATCATTGTAATGTTCTTTTACTACATTCAAAAGCAAAGGTGTGAATAATAAGAAACCTGCCTGAAAGTAGCTACGTATAAAATGAGCAACTCATGCTGAGTTACAACCAAGAGAAGATGAAAAGCTTTAACCCAGGAGTCCTGGTAAGAAGAACCCAAAGATAAGCTGACAGCATCCTGTGTTAGCATGACACTTAAAAGTTAAATAAATTAGTTTCCTGTATATGAAATTTGCCTTAGATGGTCATTTGACATGGTACTTTTAAAAAAAAGTTACTTCTAAGTTTTAGTGAAATGTGCCTAGTGAAAGAAAAGCCTGAATTGCTAAGAGTATGATACCATCACTGACCTGAAGCAAAGATAAGAACACGCTCATTTAAGAGTTTTCCAGAAATTTCAAAACTTAAAAACAGTTGATATAGGACAAGCAGCATCAGACAAAAAAGTGATCATTAATTTATTATTAACAAAGGGATAAGTCAAGTAAGAAGATGGGGGAGGAGGGAAAAGGCAAGAAAGAGAGAGAGAGACAAACACAGGTTGACTAAAGAGTTAGGAGGGGGTTCGGGGTTCATGAGGCCTGAAGACTTAAATATAGTTACATGGGGAAAAGTTACACAGAAAGAACTGGAAGCTTCCAAATGTGAAAGAAAATATACTGTTAAGGTATTTAAAATAGGGAAAAATTATTCTGAAATTCAAGATAAGGATCTTTCCTACCCAAGAAAATGTTACCTTCAAAGACCAAGCGCAGTGGTTCTCAAACTAAAGCATAAAAGGACGGCCCAGGAAATGGACTTCTACACACTCAACAAACATCACAAGTCTGACTTGCCAGCACCATCTCCTCACATGGGAAGGAAATCTGCTCACACCTCACTCTGTGATGGAATCTCCAATTCCCGCAAAGCAGTCTTAAATAACATGTCATACAGACTCATGTATATATAAAATATACATATAAAACAAAACCCAGCAGCTTTAGAAATATATTGAGTTGTATGCACATAAGTATATGGCATTAACTGCCAAAATGTTGGAAGAAAATGGAAGAATTATTATGATCCTTCACTTTTTCTATATTGAAACTATAGTATAGCTAAGGAGCCTATTTTTCTTGATTTTTCTTTTCCATTCTTTTCTTTTGGCTATACTGGAGGGCCTTGAGCTTGCTAGGTAAGTGCTCTTAGCAAGCACTCTACCATTTGACAAAACCTGTAGAGAGCCTATTTTTTAAATACAAAAAGATTAAAAGGAGCACAAGATAAACTGACCTTATCAACAGAATTAGGCAGGAGACAGAAAGTAAAAGAATGTAAAAAAAGATGACAAGCAATACTGTGTACAAAATAGACAGACCTGGTGGGGGCTGGCTCAGAATAAGACAAATGTCAGCAGAAAGAGGTCTTCAGAAAGAGGGTGAAAGAAAAGACAAGGCTGAAGACCTTAATGTCTAATATGTAGGAACAACAACAACAACAAAATCGGAGGCCAGCAAACAAAACTGTTATCCTAAAAGAAGATTTACAGTGTATCTATTATAGCTAAAGTGACTCCCCTACACCACTACGTAAGTACTCTGGAAAAAAGGCCCACTTGGAACTTTAGTCCTCACCACAGTGCCTTAGGGAATGGAGTTCCCAGGATGCCCACTTGAGCTGGTTCTCCACAGCGTCAAGCTCAGAACTGGGTAATCCCTGAGCTGCTTCTTGAGATACCATGTCTTCCACTAGCACTTCCCGTTTCCGACGACGGAGAGAAACCTGAAAAACAAATTTTTTTTTCAACTGAGAAAGAATTTTGATACTGGACACATAAAACAGAAACTAAACAAATCATACTGCCAAAAGCTTGGTAGCAAAGCAGCACAACTACCAGAGAGTGGCAAGGGAATAGGGAGAAGGCATAAATATAAATCTCAGTAGAGTGGAATACACTCAGCAGTTTGCCTACTGTTCTGTCAGTGCTTCTGACCCAAGACAGTGACACACGCAGGCTTACCGGCTGTCCAGGGTCATCCAGTTCACTCTCCAAATCCTCCAGCACTGTCACTGCTTCCTCTCCATTCTCTGGATGATGCTCTCGAACCCAAGTCTGCAACTCCTTGGGTAGGATGGCAACGAACTGCTCCAGCACAACCAGCTCCAAAATCTGTTCCTTTGTGTGGGTCTCTGGCCGGAGCCATAGACGGCAAAGTTCTCGGAGCTGACTCACAGCCTCCCGGGGGCCTGGTGAATCCTGGTATCCAAACTGCCTGAATCGCTGCCGGAAAACCTCTGGGTCCGGCAGATGGTTCCAGGCAATACTGGACCCCTCTTCACCATCAGGATCCTCCTCTAACTTCACTCTCAGAATTTTTTCCTCTTCATCTGGAGTTGGAATGATAAGTATTGAATCTTCTTCCACTGACTGTGCAGACATCCTGATTTGTAATACTTCAAGAAAAGGCAATCAAGGGAGGATATAAACCTCAGGAAAATATCTTGTCTTCCTCACAGCTTTCCTGAGACACAAGAAATAAAAAATATACAAATGACCAAATATCTCAAGATTTGGATCAATACTGACAAAAAGGCACCTGTTCTTTTACAGAATTCAGCAACAACCTATGTGGCCAAAGCAGGCAAACTTTAGCTCATACTAAATCTGTCCTGCCACCAATTTTTGTACAATGGTTCAAGAATTGAAAAACACAGAAAGATGTTATTAATAAAAATATCCATGTGAAAACATGAACTTAAAAAAATCAGGGCATCTGGGACTCACACTTGTAATCCTAACTACTCAGGAAGCTGAGATCTGAGGCTCGTGGTTTGAAGCCAGCCAAGGCAGAAAAGTCCCCCTGTGAGACTCTAATCTCCAGTTAACCACTCAAAAATCAGAAGTGATGCTGTGGCTTAAAGTAGTAGAGTGCAAACCTTGGGCAAAAGAGCTCAGAGACAGTGCAGAGGCCCTGAGTTCAAGCCCCACAACTGACCCCATCCCTAAAAAAAAAAAAAATCCATGTCCAAAAATGACTTTATTGGTTCATAGTTTGTTACAATAGCAGAGCTCAATAGTTTCAACTGAGTATTTACTTAGTATTTACAAACTTAGTATTTACTATCTGGCCCTTTATCCAAAAGAAAAGTATTTGCCAGGCTATGAACTGCAAAGTCAACAAGTCCTATTCCAACAATAAAAAGAATTCAAACAAGAGCCAGCCTGCCTCAGTGTTTTCCAAATACGCATGACCTTAGAATGCTTTTTGTAATCAAAAGTAACACATGCACACACAAACAGAGGTCAACTCAAAAATAATAGCCTGTCTATGTGTGTGGTAACGTGCTGGAGACTGAACCCAGGGCCTTGATGGTAGCATGCTGGAGACTGAACCCAGGGCCTTGAGCATGTGCTCTACCACTGAGGTACATCCCCTGCCTAAGTGCTTTTTATCTGCTTAGTAATTTCTCCTTATAAATGTATGTATATATGTGTGTATGTGTATACACACATATACACATGTACACACACATACATACACATATGTACATACATATATACACGTGTACACATACACACACATATATACATACACACACACATATTTGGTCATGGAGCTGGAACTCAGGGCCTGGGTGGTGTCCCTGAGCTTTTTCACTCAAGGCTAGTGCTCCACAACTTTGAACCACAGTGCCAATTCGTTTTCTGGTGGTTAAAGTGTCTCATGGACTTTCGTGCCCAGACTGGCTTTGAACCTCAATCCTTAAATCTCAGCCTCATGAGTAGCTAGGATTACAAGTGTGAGCCACCAGCACCTGGCAATAGCAGTTTTGTGTGTGTGTGGTTTTTTTTAAGTTAAAACATCTTAAGATTTTTAAGAACTCATTAATTAAAATATATGTGACAATGTTCACTTGCTCAGTAACAGATCACATTCTGGAAAGAAAAACATACTGTGCATTACACGCAAATATGAGTCATCTACAGCACCATAAACGAATTTAAATGTAAAACAGGCATTCATCACTGTTCCGTTTTTTTAACTTTTTTTTGTCTTTTCTTTTTTGGTGCTGGGGGTTGTATTCAGGACGTTGCACTTGCTAAGCAAGCACTTTGCCACTGAGCTACATCCCAGCTATTCTATTTTTTAAAAAGCACTCTCAGAACTTCTGGCAGTAGCCGAGTGCGTCTTCTACTTCTGGGGAGTCACTGTGCTATTTCCATCCAAGAGAAATTCGCACCGGTCTCTTAAAGACTCTGGATTGTGATGGATCGCTTTATAAATAGGGTCTACTCCAAATTCGTTCATCCCTATTCCAAGACACGACCTTACCAAGGGTTCCAACATTGTGTAATACAATTTGTTTTCCTTCTATGTGAAGGGGCAAAGTGCTCGTGGGACGAGGGCCCAGAAGGCAGGCTCACAGTCCCGAGCGCTCCAGTAGTTTCCAGTGATCTCCCACCTGACCGTCGGAGAGCCGCTGTTTAACTCGGTCCGGAGGTTCTCGGTTTCCCCTTCCCAGTACTCCCGCAGTGGATGGCAGAAGACCGGAGGCTGGGGCAGCCAACAGCAGCAGAAGCGGAGTCACACTACCTCCGCCGGTGCCCCAAGACTACAAGTCCCGGCAGCCCCCGCGAAAAGCCCGCCCACTTCCCCCCAGGACTCCCAGAACCCTCCGCGAAACGCCCGGCCCTCGAAATAGAACAAAACCGGTAGGTGGGGGGGGAGGGGAGAGAGTGGCGGACAACACGGTAGTTGGAGAAATCTCGGCGGAGGCCCGGAACCGGGGTCTCCGGCCGACCCTTCCCTCCCTTCCGCCGCCGGGCTCGGAATCGCCGACCTTTTCTCGGCACCTCCCGGGACACAGCTGGGTCAGCGGACCTCCTCGTCGAACCTCGCTGACTGAGCCGCAGACCCCAGCCCAGCGTCCCCCTCCTCGTCATCCCTTTCCCCCACCGCCGGCGCAAACCTCTGGCTCGGGAACCGCAGCAGTTTCGCTGTCCGCCGCAGCCGCAGAAACGCCGCTCCGAAGCCGTTTTCCCAGCAGCCCCCGGCGCGGACTGCTTCCGGTCTGCAGGCCCGTGGAGGCGGAGGGAGGCAAACCCCCGCGTTGCCATGGAGACGCGCTCCGGGCGGGGGAGGGGCGGCCTGACTACAATGACCGCATTGAGGACGCTCGGCCCGGCTCCTCCGCGGGAAGAGCCCCCGCGTTCCCTTAGGCCAGTTTGGGGGTTGCGTTGTGGTTGTGGTTTTTTTTCCTCCCCAAAGGAAAGAACGCTGCTGTTGATAGTCCTCACGCCTCCCAGGCCGCTTCCCGTGGTCCCCACCGCAGTCAGCTGAACGAAACGTCCTGTGGCCCGGGAGCTTTTAGTTTGCCCATTTCACAGCCCAGATAAGTGAAGCACAGATGTGTAACTTGCCATGGACTACAAGGCTTTGTACCAGAAGACGGCTTGAACTTGGCTTCCCGCTGCGAATGTTGCAATGCTCTACACAGCCAAGCAGGTGCTCGGAGGAGGGTGCCACCGCGAATTTGCAGAATGCATGGTCATCTGGCGTCAGGCTAGTTACGCCCTTACAAATCAAAAAAAGCTGCAGATTTTAAAAGCAAAAGGGCGACCACTTTATTCTCCTATTTATATTCCTCCACTGCACACCACATCTTCAGTGTGACTTGAAAACTCTTTACACTGGCCTGCAAGGTCCCCCGTGGTCAGTCTGCCTCCCTGCCCTCCGGAGGGAAACTCAGGCATATCATACCTCAGGAGCCTCCGCCTCCACCTTCCCTCCTCCAAGGCTCCATATTTCTCTCAGTACTATTCTAAGTGATCTCATATATTTACCCATGTTTTGAATGTAAATCTCACACAAGCAGGGACCTTGTCAAGACTTGTTCACTCACAGTAATGTCACTGTCTCAGGGTACTGACTGTTTGGTACACATAGAACTTGTTGAATAAGTGAGTGGTGGACAAGTTATATTGTTGTCTTTTCTCAGTCACATGTCAGGCCTCAGAAGCCACACAAAAGAGCCACGTTGTTTAAAAGTCTTGTGGTCACACGTGTAGGTGCAGTTTTCCAAGACATTTGGAGATCCTCAAGCTTGAGCTTTTTGTCTTATTTGGGAAAGCGCTTCCACAAAATGCCCTCTGCTGAGTTAATGAACGAGAAAGCAAATGAATAGCAACTAGTAGTACTGCACTATTTTGCACTCTAACCAGAACCTATCTCCTCATAACCCCTTGCTGCTAACTCCTTGACTTTTGTTTTGTTTTGTTTTTTCAATGTGGGAGGCTGCAGAAATCTAGCCTTTTCACTTTCCTACTTGGCTACTGCCAACAACCAGCTGGTCTGTTCTTTGCAACTGTTCTCTCTTTTGTGACTTCTAAAGGCTAGCTCAGGGCATTTCGTTTTATTTTACTTTAAGGAGTTTCTATGTGTAATTAATATTGAAAAATAAAAATGATAAACATCAAACCAAAACACTTAAGGAAATATTGCAAAATTTTATGAAATGCTTTGCCTATGATTCCCTATTCTGTTATCCCCAATTAAAAAAAATAGTAAATGGAAACCAGAGAGATCCTTTTCCTCACTGTGCTTTTTTGAAAAAAGGGAACAACATTCACCCACTTTAAAACACCATCATTCTAAGCACTATTGTGGAAACTTTTTCCGGATGGTAGCCCTAGTTGCCTTATTAAGAGTCTGGTCAACAGAGAGTGTTCTGTACATAAGGGCAGTCTGGGTGTAAGGAACATCTGCATACCAGTCTTGACAACCTTACACACATCCATATAGGCAACAGAGGCAGAACCAGAGCCACAAACCTATAGGAATCCTGTCAGTTCATCCATTGATCCTCTTCAAACAAACATTGGCACCAGCTAGGGTTCAGGTTCACTTTTTCTGCCAATTAAAAATTAAAGAGGCCAGGTGCTGGTGGCTCAGGCCTGTAATCCTAGCTACTCAGGAGGCTGGGGTCTGAGGATTGCCAGGTCTGAGATCAAAGCCAGCCTGGGCTGGAGTGTCCCTGAGATTCTTATCTCCAATTAACTACAGGAAGTGGGACTGTGATTTAAGAAGTAGAGCGCTTGCCTTGAGCTGAAGAGCTCAGGAACAGAACCCAGGCTCAGAGTTCAAGACCCACGACCGACAAAATAATAATAACTAATAATAATAACTTAGCAAATTGAGTCCCTTCCTCTAGCCTAGTACACTCCTTCCCCTCTCCACAGCTTAGCATGCTCCCTTCCTAAGCAACACTAGGCTCATGTAGTAAAGGCAGTAAATAATCAACTTCCAGCCCCCTTTACCTTGGGATGGCACTTCTCTGGGGCAGCTACCACCATAGAAGGCAACAAGAGCCCCTTACGGTGACCTTCAAGTTTGGACAATTGCAGGACACTTACCTACTATTTGGATAGCAGCCATAAATCCTAGTCTGCCATGATGAAGCCCCTGGCCTGCAGTCCACACCAGGGTCTCTGCCTCCTAGCCTCTTCTAGCCCCCACTAAACCTCCTAGGTTATATAGGTCACCCCAGACAATAGCCATGCTGCTGCTCATTCCTCCCTCGTGAGGAGTCTTGCCGGCCCCCTTTCCCTGCAATAACCTTTCTTTGTTCTCTGTACCTGGATGTCTTTGTGGTTCTCTAGTAAAGTCTATTAATTTTGCTAAGAACAATAATAACAACAAAGGGCAGAGAAGTGATTAAAGCAGGTTTATTGGCAAGTGAAAGAGCAGTGAAATGGACTTCTTATGTCAAATATCTTTTCTGCATCAACTGATATAACTACGTGGGGTTTTATTGATACTGTGGATTATCTTGATTATTTAACTACTGAGCCAACCTTATAGTCCTAGAATAAAACCCACTTGATTCCAGTACAATATGTATTCTCTGTATTTGCCTTACAATGCATTCTGTTTAGGTTAGATAATTTCTACTAATCTGTTTCTCTCATCTCCATTCTTTCATTGAGCACTAATGTCATATTTTTAATTCTAAAATTTTCATTTGGCTCTTCTCTGTGTTCTTCTATTTCTCTTTCTGTCCTGATATCTGTCTCTCCATTCTTTCACTCTTATTTCTTTTCTGTTTTTTTTTGGGGGGGGGGGTCAGGTTGTGGGGCCTGAACTCTGGGCCTGGGTGCTGTCCCTCAACTCTTCACCTCAAGGCTAGCACTCTACCACTTGAGCCACAGCACCACTTCCGGCTTTTTTCTTTTTGCTTATGTGGTGCTGAGGAATGGAACCCAGGGTCTCAGGCGTGCAAGGCAAGTGCTCTACCACTGAGCCATCTACCCAGCCCCTCTTATTTCTTAAGCATAGGTATAGAACCTGTTTAAAGGTACTTTGCTACTAATTCTACCATCTTTATTATCTAAGCTTTGGCATAATTTGGTTTTCTTTTTCTTTGCAAATTGAAATTCTGAGTTCTTCCTATGCCTAGTAATTTTATTGTGTCCACACATTTGGAATGTTACCATATGTGGTGTATTATTTAAGTACGAAGAATGTTTATTTGTCAGTTTGTTGATTTTTACCAGGTAATTTCCCTAGCTGGAGACAGCCCTAAAGTTGTGTTCATTATGTGAGCTGGGCTTCCAATGTCAGGTTTTCAAACCTTCCCGGTGCAGTTCTGGCCTGTACTTGTATGCGCCACCTAGTGGCCTATCTTGGACCTACAGAAGACCCTAGGTCCTCAATGTTCATGGTCTGAGGTACAGAATGGCAATCTGGAAGGGACTCAAGGAATTCATAAATATAGAGTTTGATTTGGACTCACATTCTGTGAATCCTCTAAGTATTTGTATTGTTCTAAATTATGTTTTTAAGAACATTCATTTTCCAAGTTTTTAAAAAAAATTCTGGTAGAATATAATAAGCTAATATATTAAAACAAAAATTATATAAATTTCTCTCTCTCTCTCTCTCTTTTGTTTGGTGGTGCTGGGTTTTTCAATTCAAGACCTCACACTTTCTATATAGGTGCTCTACCATGAGTCATGCCCCCAGCCTCTTCCAAAGTGTGTGTGCATGCACTGTGTGTGCATGTCTACCAGTCCTGGGGCTTGAGCTTAGGACTTGGATGCTGTCACTGAGGTTTTTTGCTCAAAGCTAGCCCTCTACCGCTTGAGCCCAACTCCATTTCCAGCTTTGTGATGGTTAGTTGGGGAGAAGACTCTCATGGGCTTTCTTGCCTAAGCTAGCTTTGAACCACCATCCTCAGATCTCAGCCTCTGAATAGATAGAATTACAGGCATGAACCACCAGCATTCAGCTTTTGCAAGATTTTAAACTATGGTAAAATGTGACATAAAACATAACACTTTAGCTGCCCTTAAGTATACAATTCAGTGGTATGCAACCATTACCTACAATGTATCTCAAGAATTCCATTACTCAGCTGGGCTCCAGTGGCTCACGCCTGTAATCCTAGCTACTCAGGAGGCTGAGATCTGAGGATTGTGGTTCAAAGCCAGCCCAGACAAAGAAGTCCATGAGACTCTTATCTCCAATAAACCTCTAGAAAACCGGAAGTGGCACTGTGGCTCAAGCAGTAGAGTGCTTGCCTTGAGCTGAAGAGTGCAGGGACAACACCCAAGCCCAGAGTTCAAGCCCCATTACTGACAAAAAAAGAATTCCATCACTCTAATTTAAAACTCTATATCCATTAAACAGTAACTCTGATGCTCCCTTCTCCCCAGCTTTGGATGACCACCATTCCATGTTATGTTTCTGCGAACTTGCCTACTCTAGGTACTTCAGTATAAATGGCATCATGTATTTATCCTTTCTTGTTTGGCTTGTTGCACTTAGCATGTCTTGAGAGTCATCCCATTGTAGTACGTTATTGGAATTTCATTCCTTTTAAAAGCTAAGTAATATTTATGTGTATACCACATTTTAACCCATTTATTTGTAGAAGTGCATTTGAGTTGTTTGTCTAATGTGAATAATATTTTGCATCTAGAAGCATCCCTAACTAATATAGGTTGCTGAAGACAATGGGAGAAGGTAGAGTGAAAATATGGGATTATTAGTAAT